TCTAAAGAAGTGGGTTGAATGTCAAAATGAAGGCAACATTTGAATTGTGAAACAACTTTAACAACAGCTAGGGTGTATGAGTGTTTAGTGTACTCTGTGACATATAATGCAAGCTGAGAGGAAAGCATATACTTGCATTTTACAGATTAGATAGCAGAGATTCTCAAAGTCACGTGACAATGAGCGTCATCTGTGAAACTTAAAGGTATGCCTTTTACCTTAAGTTTAGGATTTTAAGCTCCATACTGTAGTGACAGAACACCAAAGGCTGGTACGCACAATCGACTGTATGCTTTGATCACCTTCCTGCCTTCCTCCTCGCTGTACTTCTGCATCATTATCAGATGGTCATATGCTGTTAGGGGTATGCAGAAGGGTTGGAGTATATCTACACTTCTGGGATGAATAGTTAAAGAAAATACAGTATTTATGCACAATACAGTACTACTCTGCCACAATGAAAGAAAAACTTGGAAATATGGCCTGCTTATTTTGTTAAGCAAAATAAATCAGACACATGAGCCTAAGTAGCACACAGTTTCTTTTACAGGAGAAACAGTTAATTATCAATGAAGAGCAAAATAACAGATGATATGAAGTAGGATAGTAGGATTTGTCAAGTGGGAGTGGAGAATAAGACACAGGCAGGGCAAGGGATGAGCAAAGGAGTCTAGATTAGAGTTATGTACATCACCAACTTCACACAAGGAATGCAAATATTATGCACCACCAACATGTTGTAATAAAAATAAAATAAAATAAAGAGGTTGTTGCCATATGTGACTAATACTACCTCTAAATAAATTTCCTTAGTTACAGTACACAGTTTGGTCTATTTCACACAAACTATAAGTTTTTTTTTTTTAAGTTGGAAAATATATGCATATCTGAGTTCACAAAATGCCAGTGATATTATTTTCATGCTTTTTTTCTATTTAACGATACAAACCACTGTTCAAAAACTGAAATGACTGTATAAGCAATGTGCAGTAGCCAAATAAAAATAACAGGTGGTTTTGATTCATGATATGCAAAGAATTGGAGTCAGAATAATACTAAATGAGCGGGGAAAGGATAACAAAATTCTGTGCTTGTTTTGTCTCTAACTCTTTGACCTTGGATAAAATGTCTTTTGATTCTGTAAGATGTAGGCAAAAACTGCCCCCTACCTATCCTTTAGAGCTGCTGCAAGATTTATTAAACCAGAAGGAAGAAAAAAAGAAAGAAAAGAGCAAAATAAAAAACAGTTGAGATAGAAGTTACATACATATACAATAGTACTATTATCTCTGAGGACATACAAAGTTAAATTAACTTTTATAACATCCTCATGAGTCAAGTAGATGATCTTACCTCACTTTTACAGATAGGAACAATTAAGTCTTTTTGCTAGAACTAGCTACATTGAGCTTATGAGAAGAGATACAGTGACTGGACTTAGACCTAGGCCCACATTTACTGACACCTGAAAGTGTTTTAAAGGGCAGTTTTGAAAGTCTTATCATTCCCTTGGCAGACAATGTGAATAAGTGGCACATTATTTTGCCCAGTTCTTTATGAAAATTGATCCAAACTGCAGGACACCGTGTCTTGATGGTGTCCAAGGGAAGCCAAGTGTTTAGAATACATTGTTCTCATGAGGACAGAGGGACACAGTGTGACTTAGTGCAAAGGGAAGCCAAACCATCAGAAATGGAGAAACTGAGGAAAAGCAGAAGGAACAAAGCCAAGGTAAGAGTTAACTGGAGCTCCTGTGGGGAGATGAGGGGAGCAGCAGTGTCCTCTCTCCTCTACACTGCTTCCCCACAGTACCAAACTGGGGAAAGTGGGAAATCTAAGGGCACACATTTAAAGTGACAGTTTCACAGAAGATGATTTAGGTGAGTGCAGAGATGACAAGGGCATTCCAGGCAGGTGGTGCTGAGTGTGCAAATTCAATGAATTTGAGAAAAGCTGGAGGCACTGGAGGAAGGACTGCCCTACAAGGCTGGAGCACATGAGTAATGAGAGAGGCTGCTGCCATGTGATTAGAAACACCCTGGGAGACCATGCTGAAGAGTTTGGGTTTATTCTGCTTGCAGTAATAAATTAGTGAAGAGTATCAAGCAGTGACCAGACATTGCATGTATTACATTTTTGAAAGATTCTTTTTGTTTCTTTTTAAGATAAGGTGCCCAAGTTTTATGATGGTGCAGATTAATCAAGTTATGATTCTAAAATGTTCACATTCTTTTTTTTGTCTTTTTCTTCCTCTGTCTTTATCGCTCTACGTTCATACACACACACACACACACACACACACACACACACACACATGATGTTCATCAGTGGTCAAACACTAACAAGTTAAATTCACATTATCTGATTAAAATTAAATATATCACCAAGTTTTATTACATTTTTCTGCACAAAAATGGGTCACCATTGGCACCCCACACTGGAGCTGACTGATGGAGGGATGATGTGGAGCAGTTGTGGAGGTAGGAGCAGAGGTCATGAGCTGGTGTGCCAGTTCCCATGAGAACTGATGGTAATGAACTCAGGCTGATGTATGTTTCACACACACAATGAAAAACTCCATACGTGTTATTAATGAATTGTGTCTGCTGGCTTTGAAAAAAAACCACTGTCCTAATAAATGACTCGTTCTCCTTGGGTTGGGTGGCTTAGGATATTGCTAGAATGAAACCATTTTGAAATTAACTTTCTGTTAAGACTAACCTACTATTTGCCATTTTCTAAAAACAAGGAGAATGGCTTAGGGAAGCACTTGTACTTTCCCTTTCTATTTGTTGACAAAAGTTAATGGGGAGCAGAGTTACCATAAATAAAATGAATGCAATGCACCCACCTGCACTTTACAATGATTCAACCAATTTCATCCACATTTTGTGTAACTTTTTTTACTAACTTGGATAATTAGACTCTGGCATTGAACATATTGTTTCCCTTTATGATCTCCCAGCAAATGTACTGCAAGTGCTTTGCTTTTAACAAGTGAATTCAGAAAGATGATAGATTCATATTCTGGAAAAGAAAAATATACTCATGCCAATTTTGTTCAGGAAAAGTTTCATTTTGAAAGTAAATCTAAACGTTGGTACAGCAACAATAAAGTGAGGCCAAACAATCTGAATCTGCTAATTTCTTCTTTCACATTTTGCTTTCTCCAGTCCTATTTTTGGATGGGAACTCACTTGAGTTCTGATTCTTTAATCTGCGTTTCCTTTCTTGGGGGAATTTCCACACAAGTATCCATACTGCAAACGAGGTTAGCAGGGCAGAGACAGAAGGCATTAAGCAAATGATCCTGCAAAGCTCTAAATATCTTTCTGAGGAGGAAAAAACCCCTGCCTGCTGTGGGTTTTGACAAAGAGCATTTGCTATTTGGGGAAGAGAGAAGACCTCTGGCTCTCTTCTCTTCCACAGAGAGTAGAAAGTCTGCCAAATAGTGCTTGTTTCAGGAGGATCCAGGGTACTGCAGCAAAAGCACTTGTGGAGGAACAGTCCATCTGTGCCTTTAATGACAGCAGGGTCCTCTTATTCCTCTAGGTGCTGAAGCCTAATGGTTAAGAAGTGTTCTGTCTTTGGATCTGCACTGTCCTTAGTTGGTCCTTAAAACAGCAATTCTGTGGATGCTTCTGTGACACTTACCTGGATTGGATTGGTGGCCTACAAGTATTCTTGTAGGCAGCATCAGAAAGGGTTTTGCTCACTGAGCGGTAACTATCACTCTTGCTTTCAAGGTGGTCCCATCACAAGCCCAGAATTCATATTGGCCAGTCAAGTTATAATTCTAAACGCTAAAATGAACAAAAACCTCAAATAGGAAGTTTAGTACTGCTTTGTTGTTTATTCAATTCTAATCTAATGACTAAATAGATTTATAGTGCCTAGAATACGATTAGATACCTGAAGCCTAAGAAGAAACTTGAAGAGAGTTCTATCCACAGAAGCAAACTATTTGAAAAAAGGTTCGGATTTTGAGAAATCTTTACAATTTTCAAAGCCTCTTCACCTTCTATAAATCTTCATCTGAACTTTTCAGCAGTAGCAGTGGAGCTGAGGTGGGTTGGTGTTATAATCACACAATTACAGAATTTTAGGAGTAGAAGGAATTTTAAAGGTCATCTGAAGTAACCAATTAAGTTTTCAGTGTAGGAAGCACAGAGAGTGTGCCTTCCTCCTTTGAGATGTCACAGCAGACCAGTGACACAACCCCCAGTACCCAGGTTCAGGCAGGTGTGAACAGCCCTGGGCTGGGCACTGATGACACAGGATAACTAGGGCACACGCTTGCTCTCCTGTGTATATCTGATACTCAGATGTGTTAGGGAATCACGACGCACATTTCTGCAACTAATGACTGACAGGGTTCCTACCACTGACGGTATGATACCAAGGACTGAGGATACTGGCAAACAAAATAAATAACGAATCACTTCCAAGTTGTTCGCGATCTGCTCTTCCCGTCCTCAATTTGCCTTCTCTCAGGGAATCCAAGATGTATACTTTTGTAAGAGAGCCGAAACTTGGGCTTAGAACTGTGTTGTCAAAGAAGGCAGCACTCAAGAAGATTGGGTTTCCAAGGCGAAAGAAGGAATTCAACGTGATCACCCATGGGAACCCCCTCTCAGTTCCCTCCCGCCCCACCCGCAATACCCAGAGTTTAATTACATCACTCTCCTGCTGCTGTCTCTCCACATTCCCCCGTCCAGGGCACACGGGCTGTGCTCATGGGAAGGTGGAGATGCCAACTCACTGAGACCATTGGAGGAAAAGAGCAAGAAACAGCCCACGCATCCCTGGCTCCTAAACTGGAAGAGAAGCAGGGAGACAGGGCTGGAGACTGAGAGGAAGCAATAAACCAGGAATCCGCGACCTCCTCCCTGTGACCGCCCAGGGCCCGCGCAGGCGGCCCGGGAGGGGCGCGCGGGCTCGGGCTCCAGCGGGGCGCGCGGGCGGCGGCGACTGTAGGCGGCGGAGGCAGCGAGGGGCGCGCGGCGGCGGCGCGTGGGGCCCGGCAGACGGGAGCGCAGCGCGCCTCTGCTCCGCGCCGGCCGGCAGCGCCCGCCCTCACCCTCGCCCTCGCCTTCGCCCAGCGTGGTCTCTCCTGCCGCCCGCGACGCCCGTGACTTCAGTTCGGCTCCACCCCCGCGTGGCGGCGGCGGCGGCTCGCTCGGTCCGAACCCGCGCTCCGCGCCAGCCAGCCCAGCCCAGCGCAGCCCATCCCGGTCGAGCGGCCGCCACCTGCGCGGCGCCGCCTCCGCTTCCGCCTCCGCGCAGCCCGCGGCTCAACTTGGATGGAGTTGGGGTCCTGAGCGTCCGCCGGCCGCCGCCAGCCAAGAGCCCCGTGCCGCCTCGCTCCGGAACCGTCTCGCTCCTCTCCGCCCCGCGATGGGAAAAGTTGGCGCCGGCGCCGGCGGCGGCCGCCCGGCCGGGTGGAGCGCGCTCCTGGCCAGCGCGGGGCTGCTGGTGCTCTGCGCCCCCGGCGCCTGCGGCGGCCGCTCCGGATGCCCCGCACCGCACCCCAGCTCGGCCCCGCGAGGGACCGCGACCCCGGGGGCATCCCCTCGGCCGGGGCCCCCGGGAAAGGCTCCCGCCACGCCCCCACCCCTCCTTGCGCGCCCCCTGTTTGCGGCGGCCCCCGGGGACCGTGCGCTCTCCCTGGAGCGGGCCCGGGGCACCAAGACGGCCGCGGCCGTGGCCGGACGCTCCGGCCGGAGGAGACGCAGCGAGGCGGATCAGGAGACGGCAGAACACGGCGTGGACGCGAGCAGGAGCCCCCGGAGTGTGCTGAAGGACGGAGGGCAGTCCGAGCCCGGGACCCGGGAGCGGGACCCGGACAAAGCCACCCGCTTCCGGATGGAAGAGCTGAGACTGACCAGCACCACGTTCGCACTGACCGGAGATTCCGCGCACAACCAAGCCATGGTCCACTGGTCTGGGCACAACAGCAGCGTGAGTAGAATCGGGCTGAGGGCCCGGGTGGCTGTGAGAGGTGACATGGAATTGGGAGGAATGGGGCTTCTGGATATGGGAGCAGCTGCAAACTGACATCTCCCTGCCCACACATTGCTCAGGAAGTAATACTACCTGCAGAGGCCAGTTCCCACCCCTGTACCTAGCCAACACCACCAGAATCCTCCGGGAATCCCAAGTAAAGCTTGGGAACCAGCAGGGGGATCTGTCTGTCCTGTGTCTTTGGTCGCATTCCTGTGTGGAACTGGAGGCCACGAAAAAAAAAATTTTGGAGCAAAAGTACTCCTAATGCGGAGACGAACGGGTTAAATGTCCAGGCCCACTGACATGCCCTCCAGTGACTTTCCCTGTACTTCCCACACTCCCAAAGCAGCGCAAATACAGTCCAGAAGACTTGCCTCTGTAAGCATCTTGCTTTGTTATATGTGGAGCTCCTAACCCCTTCCTCCTTGTAAGGAAGGAGGGCTGCCAGTAGGATGAGGTACCAGTTAGTGCATTCTGTTTGGGGTATGAAGTTGATGAGAGTTTCAGGGCAGGAACTGTCTAGCACCCTCCAAAAGCGCTAGCTAGTGTTTTTGAAAGCCGGGCTTCCCAGCCCATGAAAGAGCAGTTGTTCTTTGGCATGATCAATCCCAGGAAGATCAGATATATCCCAGTGACAACAACTCCCTGTTCTCTCCATTGCCTGACGGCATCTAGGAAAGAGCACAACATTTCCCTTATGAAGGGGAGAAAGGCACTGCTGGATGCCAGGAAGGGTTCAGGGGGCTTAGTGTGCATGTCCCTGGTCCTATCAGGGGAGGTTTTTGGTTTTCCTAAAAGCCTGCATGTCTGGAATCTGGGGGGAGTTACTCCAGTTTAAACAGAGCTTTAAAACTTCAGTAAGCTGCAATAGTAGACAGCAGGCTTTCATGGTGTTAGCTGAAGCCCGATTTTAAAGTGTGGAGAGTTTCCAGGCTGCAACTAAACGAATGAGAAGAATGTAAAAATCACAAAGATTTATAAATGAAAAAAAAATCCAAATTGAAGTTCCAGGCAGGTGATGGAGATGGTGGTGTTTTGCCATACGCACAGCCTCTGCAGTCTGCTAGCTTTCGAAATGTATTTTGTTGTGCCCTCATTGCCAGGAACCTTCCCAGAGATGTGTGACTTAGTGAGTTCTGCTTCTGGTCAGCTTTTTAATGTGAACAATTTAAAATACAGCCTGCGATGAGGAAGTCCCTGTATTAAGATGAAACCTGGTATGAGGTGTTGAGTATTGATGTCTTTGTCATGGGAGTACCGGAGGGTTTTCCCTTTAAAGCAGTCTTTACAACAGAGGCTGTGGATCCTGTGGTTCTCAGGAATGATTTAATCAAATAATGGAAGCTGAAATTCTTTCAGTTCAAGTTCTGGACACCTTTGCCCTCATCTGTTAGCTTACCTATCCTGTCTTTCATATCATAACCACTAAAATTAATGCTGCAATCTGAACTTGGGATCTTCTTAACGTAATTGAATAACTTTCATGCTGCTTTAAGTGATTAACTCAGAGCTCTGGCTTTAAAGAGGGGCTTTAATTACACTGAGCGTGTCAGAACTTGTTGTACTAAGAAGTTAAGGAAACTTTGGCCTCAAGGTATTTCTGGCTTTTAATGTAATTCAAGCTGTAAAATATCACTTAGGCATTAGATCTATACTCTAGCTCATCTGTGGAAAGGTCTTGGAAAGAGTGAGAGAAGGAGAGCACATCTTTGGCAAAATTTAACCTCCATTTAAGAAATGGCACCAAGCACTTTCGGCCTTTTTATTTTTTATTTTTTATAAATATTGTTTATGGATCCAGGAGGGCTTTTTACCTGTAGGGCTTAGACCATACCAATAAATCTGAGCTAATGTAGGGAATCATGAGGGTGGGGGTGTTAAAGGCTTGAACACAAAAATCATGTTAAATAGTGAGAGTTAAATAGTTTCTGTGTTCTGAAGTGTGTTAATCCTTACACATGTCACTGTCCCCTCTCTTGCTCCTGCCTGACTCATTCCAGGAAACTGTTCTTTTTTACTAATGTATAAACATAGAGAACAGAGAAACTGACATTGCTTGCATGGGGTCCTCCAGTTCTGCTGACCTGGAGGAGGCTCATAGGACACACAAGCTTTCAACATTTTTTAGAGGAGAGGAATTTAGGAAGAAACTTCCTCGGCAGACTGGTGACATGGTGACAGAGGGAAGGCCCGAGTTCTAGTTTTGCTCACTTGTGTCGTGACCATGGCACCTTCCAAGTGCTCGAGAAGAGGATTTCCTCATCTCTAGATCATGCCAGTGCCTGAAGGCCTGCAGGGTTGATTACCGCAAGTTATGTGCCAGCATGTTCATAAGAGGGCACTGCCACTTTAAGGTCCTGTGCATGTTTTGGAATTCTCTCACATTCTCCCAGGGTGGGATATCTACTCACCTAAACCAGAGGGCAAGTTTGGGGATCCCCCCATCTTTTCAGATCTAGAGCTGCTGCCCTATAAATCCACCCTTTAGTCCATTCAAGGACCTGAGTAACATCCATCCTCTAAAGCTGCCTCACCTTGAGCTCAAAATTTCTGCTCCAAGGAGCCTCTGATTACAATATCACCTGCTTTCTAGGTGCAAATGTATGGTAATTACAGGCTGCCTGTCAGACTGCTGAGGGATTCTGGATTGTTCGCACACCTCCTTGCCTTCTCTTCTCTGCCCCCTCAGCTGTTGGACTGGTGCCGCTGTGTAGAGACATGACTGCTTGCCTCCTCCGTGGGCGTGACATGATTCCTCTGTACTGCAGGCTCCTTGCTTATGGAAACTACTGCTAGAGTTGGTGGGACACCTGGGGGGTCTTCTGGCACAAAAGGTGCTGGCTATGAATCATTTGTCATGAGCTTGGTGTCATAAGCAGAAACATATTGTTTCTACCCTACTCATCCAAGGCATGCTGTGCCCTGATCTAAATTTACACAGCAACCCTTCCAGTGCTAAAAATATAGGTTTGTCTATGTATGTGTGCATGCTATATGTGTTTATTCTTTATTTCAAAGGAATTTCAAGTAGCAACATTCATTGATACCCAGGGGATCCTTGATAGGTAATAAGTGACAGTGTTAATGTCTCTTTTCATAGTTTTATGCTAGTTAAATTGAATGTGATTACTTTAAGTCACTACTTTGCCCCTTTCTTGTTGGCAATAGTATTAAAAGATTTGTTTGTAGAGGCTTTTACTTATGTTTTATCACGCGATGCCCCGTCCATCACAGAACAAGTTAATAGGGTTTGCGTGAGTTTCCTTGGTTTTGTTCTTTCTGGACTTGATGTTTACCATCCATCCCGAGAGGATAAACTGAGTCCATGCAGGCCAGGTAGTGGTCATCACACTTAGTAGTCCCAACAACAGCAAGAATAGCAAGTTTTCTTGCTGCCTTTCTGTCGGGGAGGAAGCACAGGCTCTAAAGGCCCCAAAGGGTCATCATGAAGAGATCAGTCAGTGGCAAGGAAGAGCCCAACAGCACCCCCAGTTGTCTGAGGACACAGCACCACAGATTAGGTAGGACAGAAACACTCAGACCTTGTGGAATCTGTGTGCTGAATGAGTGTGTTTTGAGCTGACGTGTGATGGCGTGGGAGGCCCAGCTCTTGGGAGCTCCATCTCCTTGGAGAGAGCAAAGACTTTAACTTGCCCAGTCCTTTGGCACTCTTTGCCTTTGGTAGTGGTGTGATGGTTCTCTTTACATCTCCGCCTCATCGCTACGGAGATGTGGGATCTGCATCTGGTGATCCCTTGAGGTGACGTGGAATCATTCCACAGTCAGGGCTGCTTTTCTACAGGGACATTTTCCTTCTCTTAGTGACACGTCTGGTCTTCCAGAGGTTGAATATGAGCACTTGATCTGGGTATGGGTGTTTAGTTTTTATGTTCAGGTCTTTTTCTTTATAAGATAAAGTGGACTTTTTCTGGGAAGCCCACATAACTCCTTCTCTGAGTGGTATTTTGGGCTTTTAATGAATGCTAATATAAGATGGCACAGAAGACTGTAGTGCTGTATCAAACAGTCCAACTGAAATCTTAGTTCTGCTACTTACAGTACATCGTCTTGAGCAGGACATAAACTTCTCTGAGCCTCAGTCTTATATAAAATGTGGTGATATATATATATATATATATATATATATATATATATATATATTGTTTTCAGGGTTTATTTTTTTTTCTGAAAATTTGAGGTATGCAAAGGACTTACTATGCCCTGTACAGAGGGAGTCCTCAGTAAATGCTACTTGTTTTGCTTTTCTTTTTGTGTCATTGCTGATGTTTGTTTTAAGGCAAGGACTAAGTGTTCCACTGGTATTTGAGAATTTTGGATTATAATCCTAGCTACAGAGAAAAATTAGATATTTAGTTATAGTTTGTTGAAATTTTGTGACCTCATCCTCTGAGAAATGATGCCACTAGGTTAGAATACCAGTGCTCTTCTTGTCAAGTTAAAATTAAGATTTTGTTCAACTTTGAGGCATTGCACATGTGCTACATTTAAGTCATGTGTAATGTAGGGTCCTGTGCAGAGGGGTCCTATGTCTTTGATCTTTATATAAGTTAGCAAACCTTTTATTTTATGTGCATTTTCCTTTTCGCAGACATCACATGCAGGTCTATTTATGGAAGTCAAGAACTCTGAGACTAGGAACACGTTCATTTCAATCTGAGCACAAAAATTTACAGCAAAAACCAGTTTGTTTGGCTTATTATAACTATCTTTATGTTATGTAGTATGCTACCTTTGGACCAACAGTGCGTGTGTATATGAGCAGGGCAGTTATGTGACATTATAAACATCTTACACATTAAATGGGATTCTCTAGAGAACTGAAAGGAGGGTTGTCTCTGAACTATATCCATACCCTTTTAACCTATAAACTTGGAATGTCCTAGAGTAGACTACAGAAACAGTTGGGAGAATTGAATTTACTTGTCAGAAAAATA